TTTTTAACTTCCGCCCTGCCCCCACGCCCCTCTCCCGTTTAGCCTGTCTGTTCTTGTGTAGTCGTGCGCCTTTGAACCACCCGATGCTCCCATTCAATAGCTGTTCTCTCGTTGGTTCCCTAATATGCTAATGTTGTCGTACGCGTCTGGTTTTTTTTTATTTTTTCGTTCACTTGTTTGTTATGCTCGGTTTGTAGCGTGACCCCCCCCCCCCACACACACACTTGGGAGTGAATTCATCTCGGTCCATGAGACCGCATGTGTTTGTGTTCTTGTTGTTGTCGTTGTAGCTTCCTTACCATCCTTTTCACCGTTCATGTGTGTGTGTGTGTGTGATCACTCGATCTACGAGCTTCTCTTTTTGCTTGTTGTTCTCTTGACCTCTTACGTTTTGTACGCTCAGCTCAAGCAAAATTACGGATCCATGTCTCCGTGGCGGTTTGAGTTTTCCTCCTCCTGTTTGTTCTCGTTGTTGTAGCAGTCAAATCGTTGCAGTCGGCGTTTATTCTTTTTTTTTTCTATTACCTGGCTTTTTAGTCACAGTTTCCCTGATCGTTCTTTTTTGATCCTCGTACTTTTTATTTGTCTTCCCACTGAACGTACGTGCTTTTTAATTTGCGCCTAACAGATTTAATGCAATGACAAGAAGCACTTGGTCGAAGTAATTTATTGGTGATTGTTCGCTTGACGGAACTCGGATAGTTGTTTGGTTGGTTAAACGGATATGTTATGTTCAGCGAGCCGAATATTGCCAACTGCGGTTGATTTCATTCAACAGTGTCCTCTCTTGGTTCTCTCTCTCCCTCTGTAGATGTTTCCTAGTGCAGGTTTTTTAATCTTCAACTTTGATTAGAAAAAACATAATTAAGGAAATCGTTTTGCTTTTGAATTACACACCTTAGTTTACTGAACAGCAGACGGGGACAGCCCCATGTTCAGTGATAGTAACCGGTTCCCTAAGCCACGGGACTTGGAGTGACGAACCACATAAGGCCCCCGTTAGGTTAGGCATAGTGTTGAACCGGATGAGACAGTAAAGCTGCCTACCACCAAAGTCCGGTGGTGGTGGTGGTGGTGGTGGTGGGGATCGAATCTTGGACCATAGGATCCAAAGCACGTTGGTGACAGCAACTAAATCACTGCGCCACGGTCAGTCATGCTTACAATTAAAACCATGCCCAGATTATCACTTGCACCGATGGATAATAAAAGTGTTCCCCGCTCACCACCCCCCGCCCCATCAACAACAAAAAGTACACCGGCGTGTTACATCACCAATCACGAGCTTTGTCACATCATTCAAGTTCAAAATTACTGGTTACTGGGGCTATAGTAGTACTAGTAGTTCCACCAGTTACTCTGCTTACATCACCCACTCTTCTTGTTACCTTCTCCATCAATGGAGTTGCAATTGGGACGACTAAATTATTTCATCCAGTACTAGAACTTCTCATCTGATCAATAAAGGGCAGAAGTGAGCATACA